ACTTAGGCTCCTTAGACCTTGGAATCCAAGACTTTGACGAATGAAGACTTCACTGGCACCTGGGAGCCACCGTGGCCGGCATCAAGAATGCAGAGTGAGCACATGGCCTGAGGAGCCATGAAGACCCGGGACCTGTTCTGCCATCTGCCTTAGGTGACCCAACAAGCTGAGGGACCCAAGCAGATGCCTCGCTGAAGACCCTCAGAAACAAAGGGTTATGAAGTAATGGAACTCATTGCAACATGCTCGCAAGCAGTTTTCACTGGTACTCATTTGAGATACTCTGTCCATACCTCAATAAAATTTTATAATAATCCCATCATCCGTTCTCCTGTGCGTTTCTGTCTCAGCAGTAGGGAAAGCAGAGGTACTATGGTCTGGGTGGCTGAGCACCAGGACCTGTGCAGCAAAGGACCTTGGGTGGCTTTGCTTTGCCAGACCCCAGGAGGCAGCAGTCTTGGTCTGTGCACAGCAGGGCAGAGCAGGCAGAGGTCAGCCTTGGCGTGTATGTACGGGGGCTAAATCTGCGGGTCCCGCTAGAGACCCAACAAAGCAGCAGCAGCCAGAGTCTCCAGTAAAACCTGAAGCTCTCCTGCTCTCTGGCCTCCCACCCTGCATCCATCATGGGACCTTGCACCAGCTTCAAGTTGCTCTGCTGTGGCCTTCTGGGACTGTCCTGGCTCTAGAGGCATTTCCAAGCACCTGCCTCCTAGGGGTCATGTTCTAGGAACTCCTCCGGCCAGCCATTCCCTTATGCCTCAGACTGTCTTTGAGCATACACAATGGAGCTTGCCAGCCACCAAGCTGCTTCTTGCAATAGGAAGGTATCCTGGAGCCCAAGACATGAGAAAATCTGCAACTTCTCTTGTTGTGTGGACTTAGTGACCCGGATTCTGGAATGGGTGTGCTTGCTTTCTACCCCAGCTACAATCCGGTGAATTTTCTTTTTAATAAAAAATTCTTTTATTTGAAAGCTTTTTCATGCTCAGAGGGAAGTTCTTCAGTTAGGGCACAGGTAGATGGGAGGCATGGGGACTCAGACATCCTGCGTGAGCCTCCAGTGAGGCTGCAGGAGCTGGGACCTCAGCTGTGGATGAGGTCTCCCAGTTACCAGAGCAGAATATTTTGCCCTTCCAGAAGGGCAGCCTGGGAGGAAGTAGGCAAAGTCTCTCCCACTCCTCCAGGCCGAAGCAATACAAAACTCTAGGAAAAATGGCCCTAAGCAGTGGTTTAGGGTCCCCTAGAAAATAACTCTCTATAAATCATGGTCTTCAAAAACAGCGCTCCTCTCCAGGCAGTAGGACTCGTGCTCTTGGTTTCCCAGACCAAAGTGCCTCCTGGTAACCTCATCCCAGATGAGGGCATTTTCTTTCTTTTTTTTTTTTTATTTTTAAGATTTATTTATTTTTATTTGAAAGTCAGAGTTGCACAGAGAGAGGAGGGGCAGAGTGAGAGAGAGGTCTTCCATCTGATGGTTCACTCCCCAATTGACCACAATGGCTGCAATGGCATGGATCCGAAGCCAGGAGCCAGGAGTTTCTTCCGGGTCTCCCATGCTGGTGCAGGGGCCAAGGAGTTGGCCATCTTGTACTACTTTCCCAGGCAATAACAGAGAGCTGATATCTGAAGTGGAGCAGACAGGATTAGAAGGCATGCCCAATTGCCATGCCAGGGCTTAGAGCCAGGGCGTTACCCAGTGCTCCACAGGGGACACCATTTCGTTTCTAATTCCATCATCTCATGTAATGAAGTGCTAGGATTAACACCCCCACCCACACACCTATCACTTGATCAGGACCACCCACAGAGCCAGGCAGTAGAAAAGGCAACAGTAGTGCCTTCTGAATCCCAGCAACAGGCAGTCCCCTTGAGAATACACCTCCATAATGGAGCTGCCCAATCCCTGCTCCATGATAGAGCTCCAGGCGTTCCTCTCTATACCCAAGTCATGGAAGCCAAGAACCCTGGATCCTGGAAGTCAAAGGCACCCAGCTCCACAGAAGCGGGACCCTAACAGTTCGCCTTTTATTTCGACCTGAGCGAGTTCTTATGGGACAGCCCAGAGTTGGACAGCGACCTGCTCTTCACAGTTGAGACTCAGCTGGAAATCCTCACAGAGCAGTTACTTTCCCAGGACACACAGCACCTTGAAGCCCAGGAGGAACAAAGAGCCCCGCACCCAGACTTGCTGCCCGCGACTCAGCAGAAGCCAGCCGTGCCTTCCGAGAGAATGGATCCACTGAGGAGCCCAACCACGCCCACGTCCTCCACCTCCCTCAGCCTGATCGCCCTGCTCTGGTGATAAATGACGGGGTCCCAAGACCACAGATGAGGAAGACTACAGGGAGCATCGCCCACCTGCCCATAGCAGCCACCATGGGATGCATCCAGGCTGCTGGCAGAGGATTCAAGTACTTGGGATCTGAGATGGTAACTTGGGTTCACCTCAGGGCTGGGGTGCACAGGAGCCTGGAGATTTCTGTCAAGACAGCTGGCCAGAGGACCCCGTGGGAACAGACAGGAGCACTTCAGCGATGCTGATGCACAGTGCAAGCTGTGCCTTCGGAGTTGTTTGTCTGTTTTTCTTTCGTCTTCTCAATAAAAACAGTCCTGCACGCAAAATTCTTGTCACGTTTCTGCTGTGGATGTTAGATAAATGCAGAGAGACCGTGAATGTTGGGAGAAGGTGCCCTGTGGACACAGGAAACAGGCTGCGCTGGTCACATACCGGTGCCTGTGTCTCCTGGGCTAGGGAGCGAGCCCTGGCAAGAGGAGAGGGTCCTTTTCCTCCAGAGCCTCCAAGACAGGCTGAGATGCGGGCAAGCCCCAAATCTTGACCCCTGGCCCTTTTCACCTCGATCCTGCTCATGGTGTCCGCTGTCTAATCCACTGCAAGTTGCCTCTGGTCCCCTACCTCTCCCTTTCAGACACAAGGGTCTGTGTTTTCAGGACCAAGAATCCACACAGGGAAATGGGACTCGGCAGGAGTGAAACCCCTGGCTTCCAGCTCCACCCGGGAGAGCCAGGACGCCTCCTATAGGCTGGGCTGTCTGTCGCTGGATGCCTTGGCCCTAGCTCCCCAGGAATTCTGCAGGCACCAAGTGATGGAGCACCCCTCACCCCCTGCTTCCCTGTTGGCCTCTGAAATCCACCCCGGGTGTAGGTCCACCTGGGATCCTAAACCACTGCTTAGGGCCTAGAGTTTCTTACTGCTTCTTCCTGGAGGAGTGAGAGAGACTTTGCCTACTTCCTCCCAGGCTGCCCTTCTGGAAGGGCAGAATATTCTGCTCTGGCGACCGGGAGACCTCATCCACAGCTGAGGTCCCAGCTCCTCCAGCCTCACTGGAGGCTCACTCAGGATCTTCTGAGTCCCCATGCCTCCCATCTACCTGCGCCCTAACTGAAGAACTTCCCTCTGAGCCTGAAAAAGAAAAATATCAACAGAGGACCTGAAAGAATTCTGTTTTAGGTTACTATGGACTGGCCAGGATTCTTAAGATTCATTGATCGGCTGCAGCCTTGTTAGTGAAGGCAGCAGGCAGACTAGGGGCAGGGCAAGGAGGGAAGGAGGGGAGATGTGCATGGGGGCAGGAGGAGTGTGAGAAGCTGCAGACCATAGAGGGGAGGGTGGAGAAATGAGAGAGAGCAGTGCAAATGCTCGGGGGGCAACTGCAAGCCCAGAAATGGCCTCACCGCCTGAGAGGCCAGTGTGAAGAAGCAGGAACATCTCCCCGTCAAGTGCAGCTGTCAGTCTGCTCTGTCTGCCGGTTGCACACTTGCAGGTTCAGGACGTGTAGACAAGTGTGACGATCAGCCACACAGGTGCTGGGAGCTTTCCTGTGCACAGGCCATGGCCCAAACCCGAAACATGGTGCCACCCCTGTGCAGGGACTCACCGCCACACTCCAGGTCTCAGCCAACAGGAGGCTCTGGGGGCCCCACAGATAATATCCCAACCCAGGTCCTCATAACCACTGCCCAGGCCATCAACAGTCATACCAGAAACACAAGATTTTCACATTTCAGAGCCATTTTATTGCAGGGCCAAACCAAGGAGAAGCCTGCGTACAATGCACAGTGCTGGCACAAATCTTGTCATTGCGTTTGCACCAAGACAGAAGGCAACAGGAGAACCACAGCTATTGACAGCACATTTCTGTATGGGACATGGAGGCAGAAACCTCAAGGGTCCTGGGACCCAGGTAGAGACAAAAATGTTAAAGCTGCCTCCTACTAGCCTAGAAAGAGCCCGTGATGGTGGCAGGGTCAGGCTGTGCCCAACATTGCCATCAGAGGTCTCCAGCTCTGGTGGTCGGTGCCAGCTGGAGTCTCGGCTGCTCTTCTTACAATCCACGCTCATACTAATGCCCCTGGGAAGTCCTCAAATGATGGCTCAAGTCCCTGGGCCCCTACCACCCAAATGGGCCTGGGTGCAATTCCTGCCTCTTGGGTTCAGCCTGACCAAACCCTGGCTACTGCGGGTATTTGCAAAGTGAACCAGGGTATGGAAGATTGATCTCTCTCTCCTTCCCTCTCTCCATCCTTCCTCTCCCACTCTCTAGCTCTGTCTTTCAAATTAATAAACAACTCTTTAAAAATAAATGATTTAAAGACATTTTGATTTTTTTTCTGTAGGTGTGAACTTCCTCAACAGTGTAGAATAAGACTAGAGACTGAAGCCTGAATGTGGGGAGAGTGTAGGAGTGCTGAGTAGAAGACTTCAGAGGACTGATTGTGTAGAGGCTTCAAAATGAAAGATTCTGAACTTTCTTTCATCCTGGGCAATCCCTGACTAATGTGGACATTCGGGGAGTGAGCTAGCAGATGGAAGATTTCCCTCTCTCTCTCTCTGTGTGTGTGGGTGTGTGAGTGGTGGGAAAGAAACAGAGTGAGAGAGAGAGAGACTCTGCCTTTCAAATAAATCATTTAAAGAGAAAATGTCACCAGGTTGGAACTACGACTGAAACCAGCATTCTCATTCTAGAATCCAGGCTCGCTAAGCCCCCCATGCAAAAGAGAAGTGGCTGGTATTTGGGTGTTCTGCACCCAGGACCTGCCCATCCCATGGTGCAGTGGCCACTGGTCAGCTCCATTGTGTGGGCTGAAAGGACAGACTGAGGCAGAAGCCTGAGAGTTCCTGAGAGACTGAGGAGTGTGGACCACAGGAGGCTTGTGCAGGAGCTGCCTCTGGACCCAGGGACTGTCCCAGGAGGCCAGAGCACAGCCATCTGCAGATGGCGGGAGGGCCCCTGAGATGGACCCCGAGCTGGGCCATGGAGCAGGAGCATTTGTGGCTCATGTGCGGTGTCTGGCTTTTGCTTTTTTGCAGGTTCTCTAGATCCCCGAACCACCAGCCCAGTGGAAGAACAGCCACTCCCAGGCCTGTCCACCAGGCTGTGCATAGGAAAACAAAGGCTGAAGCCAAGCCAAGCTACGGATGGTCCCGTGTTGGTAGGATCCTGGGTTCAGCCATCTGACCCTTCTGCTTCTCCTCCCACAGCAAAACCAGAAACAAATGGGAGAAAGTATGATGACATTTTGTCAAATTTTATTGAGGAACGGACAGGAAATCTCACAATGTCAATGAGGGGAAACTTCCCGCGTGGTTCTTTCACTGAGGTCCGTGCTGCACAACCATTTGTTCTTTGAGGGTCTTCACTGAGGCCTCTGCTTGGAGACCTCAAGGTGGGGGGGCAGCAGAGGCAGAAGGCAGAACGGGTCCCGGGTCTTCAGGACTCCAGCGGCCATGTTGTCAGTCAGGGATCCTGATGCAAGCTCTGGTGGCTTCCAGGGACAGCGAAGTCTTTATGCGTCAGTCTCAGCATCCAGAGGCCAAAGCATGGTGTCTCCTGGGCTCATGTAGCTTTCGCTTCCCTTTGCAGAACTTATGGGTCCTTCCAGAATTACGATCGATGTTCTATGGCGGTGAACCTGCTCTGAGTTGTATCACAGGCAGACCCTTCAAGAAGTCCACTAAGGCCACAAGCAGCATCACATACAGTCAAGAATCTTTTTATTGAATTGGTGAGTGTCATTACCTTCTAGGGCACATTGATATCATTTCTTAGAACAACTCTTGGGGAAACAAAGGAGAGGGGCTGGCCTTTGGCACAGTAAGTTAGGACCACTCTTCAGGTCCTGACATCCCATATGGAGCTGCATTCCACTTCCTACTTAGATTATCACTAGTGTGCCTGGGAAGCCAGCTGATGATGGCCTAAATAGTTAAGAGGCTGCCATCCAGTGGGACACCCAGAGGGAGTTCCAGGCTCCTGGCTTTGCCCATGCCAAGAACTGGTGTTTGTTGCTATATGGCCAGACAACTAGCAGATGAAATCTCTCTCTCTCACTCTCTCTTTCTCATCTCTCCTCCATGTAACTCGTTGGCTAAATAAAATAAACATTTAAAGAAAAAAACGAAGTCACCACATAGGAGCAGGATTGAACACAAGCAGTCCCACTGGAGAATGCAAGAGCCCCAGCCCCACAGGAAAGAAGAGAAGTCGCTGATGTTTTCACGTCCTGGGACCAAGGACCTTCCCATGGCCTGCAGCAGGTGGGCAGCTGGGCAGCTCCACTGTGGGGGCTGAAAGGACAGTCTGAGGCAGCAGGGCACTGCCTGGGGAGTCCCTGAGGACAGCTCAGCCGAGGCTTCGTCCTGTAGATGCCTTCAGAAGCTTGGCCAGTCCGAGGAGGCTGCAGCAATGCCACCTGAAGAAGCTGGAGCCTCAGAGCTGGGACCACGGAACGGGAGACCTTGTGGCTTCAGTGGAGTGTCGGGCTGCCACTTGTCTGCTGTCCGCAGAGACACACAGGTCCATGTTGGCCACGTTAGACCCTCCTGCATTGCTCTACACAGAAAACCGCTGCCTACCGCGAGTCCAGCCAGGGGAAGCCACAGAAGGTCCAGCGCAGGAGGATCCTGGCGTTCGTTTACTGGACCTTGCGCACCTCCTTCCGCACCTCCTTCCTCCAACGGCCGCACTAGAAACATGCGGGAGAACGCATGATGGCAGTTTGTAAAATTTCATTCAGGAACAGAGAGAAAATCTCACCCATCTCCACGAGGACTGAGATCCGGCGCTGTACAGCCGTTTGTTCTACCAGGGTCTCCAAGCGAGGCATCTGCTCAGAGCCCTCAGGGCGCTGGGTCGGCAAAGGCAGATGGCAGTGGTGGTCCCGGGTCTTGGCGGTCCTGCTGGCCACGTCCTCAGTCAGCAATATTGGTAGCGGCCACGGTGGCTCCCAGGGGCCAGCGGAGTCTTCATTCCTCAGCATCTTGGGATCCAGAGGCCAAAAGAGGCTATGGGGCGGGCAGCGGCTGTGCTATCAGGCTTCTTGTGCGTCCTTCCAGCTAAGGTGGTCAGAATCCTAGGCATGAAGAGGGCAGTTCTGGAACAAAAGTCCACAGGGGAAGAAGGAGGGCCCTCACCTGGGGCCTCGCACTTCCTCCAGGCCATTGGTGGAAGAGTGTCTTGGAGCTGGCTGTTTCCCAGTCTGGGGCTCCTTTCCTTTCCTGGTTCCTCCCAGATGAAGTCCTCGGTTTTCAGCAACTTGCGGGGCCAGCCAGGACTCCAAGGGTCGCTCTGGGCATCGGTCTGTCCTCCTCCGCGGGCGCTAACATCTGCAGGCTGGGTCAGACACACTTTTTGAGGTGGCTGGGGGTCCACAGTGCTCTCAGCCATCGGCTCCTGGACATCTGGGTCTCGACAGCGTTTCTGCCCGCATTGCACCTCGGCCGTGGCTCCCACACTGGCAGAAGCCTCGCGCCGCAGCCCGTGGACTCCAAAGTTCCCGTCTGCGCAGGACTGGGGGCGCTGGCACGAGTGGCTGCTCAGTGCTTCGAAGTTATCCAGGGCCCAGGCCCATGACTGTTCTGGGCTCAGCCCCGGAGGCATGTGGGGCTCCAGAGGGGCCCTCGGCCAGCACAGCGCTTCCAGGGAGGAGGGGTGGAGCGCCATTGCTGCTTCTCCCTTGCAGGCCAAGTGTGTGGCTTCTCTCTGCTCAGGGGAAGGTGCAAATGAGACAGTCCTGTCCTGACTGAGCCTTTTATAGTGGTCTGCCAGCGGGTGGGATGCAAATCCCTTCAGAGTGAGGAGATTAGGCCAACAGCTGCATCCCTGAGCTGCCTTGGGTGAGGTCAGATGAGGAAAGGGAAGGAAGGGGGTGAGGTGGAGGAAAGATGCAGTTATTGGCCATTGCTGGTCAGTGTGAAAGTCTCTCCTGGTGTCATATGGCCCACATACACTCATGACTGATTCTTGTCCCTTCTGGAGGTTTCAGAGATGAGCCTCAGTGATGGCAGTGCAAGGTCACAGCCAGTTCTCCATGGAGTTGTTTAGGACCTGGATCTCAAGGATGCTTATGGGGTAGGGTCATGAACAAAGGAGGAATTCCACTGCACCAAGAAAAGAAGAGTCCCAAGAAGGGGGCATCTGCTGTGTCGGGGTCGGCAGGCACCGGGCCTGGGTCTCTGTGTCCCTCTTGGGCTTCAAGGTGCTGTGCACCCTGGGAAAGTAACTGCTCCGTGAGGATTTCCAGCTGAGAGTCTCAGGGACTGAAGAGCAGGTCTCTTTCCAGCTCTGGGCTGTCCCATGAGAACTCGCTCAGGTCAAAATAAAATAGGAGCTTCCAAGGTCTGGCGTTGGTCAATCAGGGTGCCTGTGGCTTCCAGGATCCTGGGGACTGTCTTTTCCATGATTGGGAGCTGGGGTATGGGGACTTCCAGGTCTCTACCATGGGAGAGGCCAGCTCCATCAGGGAGGTGTCACACCAAGGGGACCACAAGTGCCTGGAATTTGGGATTCAGAAACCTCCACCTTTTGCCTTTTTCTATTGCCCTGCCCTCGTGGGTGGTCCTAATGGGCTGATTATTGTGTGGGTGGGGGAGTGAATCCTAGGAGCTCATTACCTGATCTGATGTGATTAGAAATAAAATGCCCTTATCTGGGAGCAGGTTTCCTAGAATGGCTTAGTTTGGGGACCAAGAGCAGGAGTCCTACTGGCCTGGAGAGCAGTGCTGTTGTTGGAGACCATGATTCATAGAAAGGGATTTTCTGGAAGGACAAGGGCTAGTCCCACCTCAACATAATGGAAACCATGTCTGAAAAACCCATGAGTGCCGTGTCAAACATTGATAGACTGAAAACTTCTCAAGATCACAAACACAGTAAAGCAGTAAAGTTATGCACATTCACATTCCACTTAGTTCTGGTAGTCTTGTCAGAACCGTTACATGAAAATATATTAATTAGATGTCGATTGAAAGAAGAAAAATTGAGTATGATCTCTTCACATAAAATGTGATCTTTTCATTATTATTTCAATTTATTTATTTGAAAGAATTGCAGAGGAAGAAAAAGAGACACAAATTTAACATCTGTTGGTTCACACCCCAAATGGCCATAAATGTCAGGCGGTGAGGGAGATCCCCTGAGACAGCCTGGGTAGCCCATGCAGTTATCCTGGCTGCTGGCATGCAGAGGGAGCCCCAGGGCACTTTTCCCTCCTCCCCCACCTTCTGCCAATCAGGTATATTTCTGGGGGGGAAGAAGGGAATCCCAGGACCATCGGGAGAGCTACTGCAGCCTACTAGACATTCAAGGTGATTGGAGAAGCATAGCATTGTCAATATCGGCTTTATCTAATAGAATATGTATTGCCCTGAATTAGTTACATCCCTTAGACCTGCCCTTTAAATAGTGTGCTTGGTTCAAAGGGACTGGGGACATAGGAAAACTGGGCAATTAAAGCTAGACCCATCACCTCTGACTCAGCCATGACACACAGACACACACACACACACACAAACTCAGGTTTGTCACTATCAAGCTGTGCAATTATGCACAAAAAACGGCCTACCTATACTTCCAATCATTTGAGTGAATATATGGTACATTTCAGAAAAAAGATTACTTAGGGCCAGCGCTTTGACACAGAGGGTTAGTGCCCTGACCTGAAGTGTTGGCATCCCCTATGGGTGCTGGTTCCAGACCCTGCTGCTGAACTTGTGAACCAGCTCTCTGCTATAGCCTCAGAAAGCACTAGAAGATGGCCCAAGGCTTTGAGCCTCTGCACCCACGTGGGAGACCCGGAAGAATCTCCTGGTTCCTGGCATGGGCTCAATGCAGCTCCAACGTTGCGGCTAATTCGGGAGTGAACCATCGGATGGAAGGCCTCACTCGCTCTCTCTGCCTCTCCTCTCTCTGTGGAACTCTGTCTATCAAATAAATAAATATATCGCTAAAAAAAAAAAAGAAGAAGAAGATGACCTGAGAATCAAATTGCATTTTCTCATGAATGTCAGCACACAAAATATTGTAAAGGAGGAACTTTCTATACAGGTTGTGTAGTCCCATCCCCTCCAAACAAACTTCCCTCCTTCCCTCCTAGCACACTTTAAACTTACCAATCCATAAGAAGAAGGCAACTTCCTATCATTTCAATCACGATGATTGGATTACTCCTGATAGGATCTGGTCCTGCTCTCTGATGTGTTTGACCCTGAGCAAAAGTCTCGGCCCAAATCCACACCCTCTGATTGGTTTGGGGAGGGGCAGCACAGTATAAAAGAGGGAGGACCCAGGCTATGAGAACCCTTCCTCCTCTCAGAGGCAAAGCAATGGAGCAGCCTCTTCCCCGCTGTGTGCGGGAGGCCTGGGACTCCGCACAAGAGGCTCAGGGGCCCCAGGTGCTGCCTCCCCTGAGCAACCCCAAGTCTGGGCCCTGGGCGCTGCCCCTTTATCCCAGGTTGGGTCAACCTTTTGGGTGCCACGAGGACTTTGACGTGAAGCTGCTTTGTAGCCCCTGCGGGCTTCTTGGAGGGGCCTGCCCGCGACACAACCCAGAGAGCAGAGCCGCTGCCCCTGACCAAAACCCAGGAAGCAAAGCAGCCCTAGGCGCCGCAAAGGGAGGCGCAAGAAGCCTGAGAGCACAGCCGCCGCCCGCCCCATAGCCTCTTTTGGCCTCTGGATCCCAAGACGCTGAGGAATGAAGACTCCGCTGGCCCCTGGGAGCCACCGTGGCCGCCATCAAGATCGCTGACTGAGGACGTGGCCAGCAGGACCTCGAAGACCCGGGACCGCCCCTGCCATCTGCCTTTGCTGACCCAGCGCCCTGAGGACTCTGAGCAGACAACTCGCTTGGATACCCTGGTAGAACAAACGGCTGTACAGCGCCGGATCTCAGTCCTCGTGGAGATGGGTGAGATTTTCTCTCTATTCCTGAATGAAATTTTACAAACTGCCATCATGCTTTCTCCTGCATGTTTCTAGTGCGGCCCTGGGAGGAAGGAGGTAAGCGATGTCCAATAGCCGAGCGCCACGATCCTCATGCGCGGGACCTTCTGTGGCTTCTCCTGCTGGACTCGCGGCAGGCAGCCGTTTTCTGTGCAGAGCAGCACAGGCAGCGTCCAGCGTGGCAACATGGACCAGGGTGTCTCTGCGGAGCCGGCGAAAGACCCAGCAGACAAGTTGCACCCTGAGACTCCACTGAAGCCACAAGGTCTCCTGTTCCGTGGCCCCAGCTCTGGGGCTCCAGCTTCTTCAGGGGGCACTGCTGCAGCCTCCTCGCACTGGCCAAGCTTCTAAAGGCATCTACAGGACGAAGCCTCGGCTGAGTTGTCCTCAGGGACTCCCCAGGCAGTGCCCTGCTGCCTCAGACTGTCCTTTCAGCCCCCACAGTGGAGCTGCCCAGCTCCACTGGATGAGGTTACCAGGAGAGGTCTCTCGTCTTCCAGTTGTCTGCCCAAATGCCCACAACAACCCCAGCTACTGTGGGCAAATCCAGGAGCTTGGAACTCCATCTGGGTGTCCCTCTGGATGGCAGCCTGTCAAGCTTTGAGGCCATCACCAGCTGTCTTCCCAGGCGCAATAGTGAGAATCTAAGTAGGAAGACGCATGCAGCGCTATTAGGATATCAGTACCCGAAGGGTGGGCTTAACTCACTGAGCCACAGGCCAGCCCCTCTCCTTTATTTCCTCTAGAGTCGGGCATAAGATATGGTATCAATGTGTTCTAGAGGTTAATTACACTCATCAACTCAATCATTTTTTCGGGACTGTGCATGAACTGCTTTGCAGCCCAGCGGGCTTCTTGGAGGAGCCTGCCTGCAACAAAATCCAGAGCGCTCCCAGAGCCCCGGGGTCGACCTTCATCATGAACATGAATTAGCCACAGAGGCTGCAAAGAGGGAGAACCCAGCCGCCACCCGCCCATAGCCTCCTTTGCCCTCTGGATCCCGAGACTCTGAGGAAAGAAGACCCCGCTGACCCCTGTATTCACATCTTTAATTTGTCTCATTGATGTCTTATAGTGAACTCCAGATAGTCTGTTCTTTTTGCTGCTATTGTAAATGAAATTGCTTTGGCAACTTCTATTTCAGATTGTTTGTTGTAAGTGGATAGAAATACAATGGTGCTGGTGTTGATTTTTGCATTCTTCTGGGTTTTGTTGAATTTGTTTATAGTGCTAACAGTTTTTGGGCTTTTTGGTTTGTGTGTGTGCCAATCTGAAGCCAGGAGCCAGGAGTTTCTTCCGGGTCTCCCATGCGGGCACAGGGGCCCTAGGAGTTGGGCCATCTTCTGCTTTCCCAGGTAATAACAGAGAGCTGGATCCGAAGTGGAGAAGACAGGATTAGAACCCGCGCCCCGTTGTGATGCCAGGGCTTCAAGCCAGGGTGTTACTCACTGAGCCACAGGGGACACCATTTTATTTCCAATTCCATCATCTCATGTAATGAAGTCCTAGGATTAACGCCCCTACCCACACTCCTATCAGCTGATTAGGACCACCCATGGAGCCAGGCAGTAGAAAAGGCAACAGTGGTGGCTTCTGAAGGCCAGCAACAGGCAGTCCCCTTGGGGAAACACCTCTGTGATGGAGCTGCCCTCTCCCCGCTCCATGGTAGAGCCCAGGGCCTCCCTCCCTACACCTGGGTTAGGGAAGCCACAGTCTCCAGGGTCCTGGAAGCCACAGGCACCCAGATTGGCCAACGCTGGACCCTGGCTGCTCCCCTTTTTTCGACCTGAACGAGTTCTCATGGGACAGCCCAGAGCTGGACAGCGACCTGCTCTTCACATTCCCTGAGACGCTCAGCTGGAAATCCTCACGGAGCAGTTACTTTCCCAGGAGCACAAAACCTAGAAGCCCAGGAGGGGCACAGAGCACCGCGCCCAGGACCCACTGCCCGCGATCCAGCAGAAGCCAGCTGTGCCTTCGGGGGAGGCCAGCACAGCTGAGGAGCCCGACCACGCCCAGTTCTTCCGCCTCCCTCAGCCTGATTGCCCTGCTCTGGTGATAAATGACGGGGTCCCAAGACCACAGATGAGGAAGACTACAGGGAGCATCGCCACCTGCCCCCAGCAGCCTCTGTGGGTCGCATCCAGGCTATCGGCGGGGGATTTGAGAGCTCGGGATCCGAGATGGAAACCTGGACTCACCTCAGGACTGCAGTGCCCAGGAGCCTGGAGATTTCTGTCACGACCGCTGGCCAGAGGATACCGTGGGAACCGACAGGAGCACTTCAGCGATGCTGATGCACAGTGCAAGCTGTGCCTTCCGAGTTGTTTGTCTGTTTTCCTTTCGTCTTCTCAATAAAACTGTCCTGCACGCAAAATTCTTGTAGCGTTTCTGCTGTGGATGTTGGTTAAAGGCAGAGAGACCAAGAATATTAGGAGAAGGCGCCCCATGGTCACCGGAAACAGGCTGCGCTGGTCGCATACTGGTGTCTGTGTCTCCTGGGCTAGGGAGGGAGCCCTGGCAAGAGGAGAGGGTCCTTTTCCTCCAGAGTCTCCAAGACAGGCTGAGATGGGGGCAAGCCCCAACTTTTGACGCCTGGCCCTTTTCACCTCGAGTCCTTCTCATGGTGCCCACTGTCTAGCCCCCTGGAAGTCGCCTCTTGTCCCCGGACCTCTCCCTTTCAAACACAGGGGTCTGTGCTTTTCAAAGGCTGAAACTCTTCACAGGTGAATGGGACTAGGAAGAGTCAAACCTGTGGCTTCCAGCTCCACCCG